CTCGTTTCGTTTCGTGCCTTGTCGCCTCGGCTCGCCGCGGCCAGACACAAACGACGAGCCATCCTCCACTCCTTCCTCTTTCGATCGAAACCGAGGAAAGTCTTGCGAACCTCAACGAGAGTGAGGTACACGACGTATTCTTTTTTTTTTTCCAAGATTTAGAACATTATCGATCGATTCTCTTCTGTATTTTGTTCTGAGAAGCAAAGGAGTTTCGAAACGCTCTCGAGTCTTTTGTATATTTCGTTATTCGAAACGATCTCGGTTTGAATTTGACAATTGATTCTGGGGGGACGGAAACAAGTTGGAAATTTTAAAAATTGACGATATCATTTATGATCGTTCCAAATAAAATCTTCGATTGAAATTAACGAAAAATACCGCGGCGTAAATATTAAATACTTGTCGGTGAATAAATCTCAATCGGTGGAAAATATCGGAAAGATCGGCTGGAAAACAATGAAATCTCGAAACGGCGTGTTTCGGGCGTCCGATTGCCAACACCGGGCCACGTTAATTGCGTCTATCTGATTAAACGATGAATAATATATTTGACACACGGACGCGATTCAAAGCGGCCTGTAGATGGTCTGCAGACGAAGTTTCTACACTTCCTTGAATGCAGCATCCTGCCGGGGAACTATTGGCCGGGTAATTGACCGTGCGCGCACGGTGCGCAACGCTGATGAAAGAGACAATTCCAGCTCGCCTCGCCGACTTCCTTCCTCGAGCAGAGAACGAGCGAGTAAACGCGAATACTACTGGCATCGCGTAGAAACCCGCGCGCTCGGTAAGTGGGTTTCATTCATAAAGTCACGCGTTTCGCGAGGAAATGCGTTTGCACGCCCGTTAACGAGAGAAACGCGTTCCGCGCGCCCGTAAAAGACTTTAAAACCCGCATGCACCGGAACGCCTATCTTATTTCCGTCGAGGATGCATCGTCGGGAAGGGGGAGGGAAGGGGGGGACGTTTCCTCGACCGCGATTCCCTTTTCGAGAACCAACTCTCAACGTCGTTTTCTTTCTTTCTTTCTTTTTTTTGCTTTTTCACCGCAACGTATCGATTTTTCCCTCTCTCATCCTCTCGCGGATGATAATTTGAAAAAAGAAAAAAAAAAAAAAAAAAAGAAAGGAAAGGATAATAACGCGGATAGAATTTCGGCAGATACATCGGCTCGGGTCTTGGATCTCGCCTTTCAAAGTGCACTGACCCTTCAGGCTTGGGCGGAACTCCTTCGCTTCCGGTGTTGTTCCGTCGCGCTGCTATTTCTATATATAAGCGAGCGCGCACACACGCTTTTGTTGGCGTGCAACATACGGGCCGAACGGTTCTACGGTGCCATCATCGACGAATGCCTCGATGAACAGGGGTCGATCGCGTTTAATCTTTCCTCGATCGAGCGGAGGCTGGGAAACTATCTCGAACAGGCGGACAAATTTTGTGGACGGAGATCGTCCGCGGTATGTAAGATTTACAAACGCGTTTTCGACAAGAGAAAAGAAAAAAAGAGAGAAAAAAAAAGGAAGAAGAAAAGCAGAATTGCAGATGCCAGGAAGAAGCTTAAACTTCATTATATTTCTTTCTGGGCGTCTACGTTGAAGTTACATAGTCGAGATTACGAGCGTGCTCGCGGATACGGACACGATATGGAAACGAGGACGAGGACTTGAAATTTACGAAGTTTTACCGATGTGATAAACGAAACTGCGTATTTATTATTAACAAAAGTACTCACGCTGACGAAGGTTCCGCAGGTGAAGATGGCCGCAGTCAGAAGATCCTCCGCATTTTCGTTTCAGAAATCACTGATGGCAGATATATCGATGATATCTTTCGGTTCGTCTAACAGCTATGTCATGTGAACAACATTTTGGAATCATGCTTATTCGACTCAACACCGTCGATCATCTCGTTTATTCTCGGTTCTTTCGTTCATTTTTTTTTTTCTTTTTTTTTTTTTTCGCAAAGATAGCGCCATTGACAGATAGCGTCGTACAATTGGCATCTTCCTACGACTTCCGGCGCTAGTTAAAAAGTCGATGATTACTTTTTGTCGAAAGTTCGTTGCCACGTGGGAACGGGGTGGGGGAGGGGAGAGGGGAGGTGGGGGTGGGGAGTTAGCAGCAGCAGCAGCAGCAGCAGCAGAAGAGTCAAAAGGTCGGCCGCATTGTCGCCACGAGTAAATCGTATCAGACTCGTGTGACTCTGGGGAGAATGTGAAAACCCTGGATGACAAAACTGAATATTCTTTCGAATGTATCGAGCGGAAAACGAAACTCTCATTTACCATTTCGATTTGAAACTCGGAGGACAAACTCGAGACGAGCTCTCTCTCGTCAACGAGAGAAAAGAAAAACGAAAAAAAAAAGAAAGAAAGACGGTTTGAAATTGAATGGTACAGCAGAATAGGATCCCTGGATAGAGAGAGAGAGAGAGAGAGAGAGAGAGAGAGAGAGAGAGAGAGATGCGAAAAACGGAGTAGAAAACGAAATATACCGGAATGGGAGGAAAACGGTGGGTAAAGGGAAGGAACGCTGCTTTGTCCCAGAGAGAAGATGCAATGTGGCAACTGTTACGTAATAACAAGCACACGTTACACACGACGAAGGGGTGGCGAGAGAGCGACCGGGGGCCGGTGGATGATAGGTGGGGATACTAGAGTAAACGAGGAATGAAAAGGGCAATGTCCAACGGGGGACACATTCACGGGATCGTGTAACGAACGAGTCTCATTCGGCGAGGACGATTGAGACAGCACCGCGCTGAAACGTCGCGGCAACGACGGTTTTTCCAGCCGGCTCACGGTCGCATCTCTGCGTGAGAGTAACGCAGAGGTATGAAAGAACGAAAAAAAAAAAGACGAGAGGAGAAGTAGTACACGCGGTACGAAGCGCGATGGAATTGGAGTTGGAAATGTGTCCCGGTGGTGTGCGCCGGGCGAAAGCTTCGGCTAAAACAGCGATGTGATCGATCCTCTCTCTGGTCACCGTTGTTGTACGCAACACTCGTCGGACCGGGTACCGGTGTCACCGGGATTCAATTCTCGATGCGATTTTTCTGGTGGACGCGTGACGACGGAGGAGGAAGGTTCCTCCTCGTCATCGTGGAACGTCGTTTGCGCGTCGCATCGCGTTACGTCGTCGCACGTGCGCCACCGCATCGGAGACGCGCAGGGCAAAGTGCATCGTAAGACTGCTGACGGGTGCAGCACCGGTGCTCCGGCTTTCCGATGCAACGCATTACCCCTTATCCCCCTCGAGGCCTCTTCCTCTTTGTACGCCCCTCCCTCTTTCACTCGGCCGACCGTGCGCACAGCGACGACCAACGCACCACGTGACCATCCCTTTAACTTTAGAGCAAACCGATTAACGCACCACTCTTTACGACCACCGACGTGTTTCCTCTTCCTCCTTAATCTCTATCCTTTTCTCTCTCTTTCTCTCTCTCTCGCTCTCGCGCGCCTCCTCGATCCACGGAAAAGTCTCTTCCTTTTCTCGTGGTATCCAGAAGAATATCCATTTTTTTCCTGGCCTCCTCCTCATTCGCATCTGCATTTGCTACATACTACATACTTGCCTTTCTTTCTCTCTCTCTCTCTCTCTCCCCCCCCCCAACCTCTTTTCTTCCCCGCTCTTTGACCTTCCGACGAGTTTTCCTCTCGTTCTCCACTAGGAGGAACGCGTCTCTGTGTATATTTTTCTTCTCTCGGTAGCTTCCTCTCTTTGTCCCGAGAGCAGGCGCGCCACGGGTCCCTCTTTCATCCGCACGCTAGACGCGCGAGCCGTCGTTCATCTTCGTCCAACGTCGAGGAAGTAAACTCTCGCGCGTCTCTGTTACAGCGGGGCAAGAGAGGAGCGACGATGGCGGCTTGAGGGAGGGAAGGGAAGAAGGCTTGCAAGCAGCAGAGGCTGCTTTTCTCGCGATTTCTCTGTCGCTCCGAGGGCGAATTGCCGCGTCGGATCCACCTCGGCTCTCTCACTCACTCACTCACTCGCAGGCTGGCGGATTCTGTCGGAGCACTGCGTCATTTCTGTACGGCGGCGTACAGATTCGTTCTCTCGCTCCGATTCGCTCTTTCCGTCGTGCTCTTTCCTGAATACCGACGCGTCCTCCCCCTCGCGTGGCGGGGCAAGGGGGGGGGGGAACTTCTGGACGCATCCCCACCAGCCCGCTGGAGCCGGCTCGTTGCACCGGCTGTTGGGGGCCGAGCGGCGGTGCAGCCGTCCTCGTCGCTCGGCTCCATTCATGCCTCGACTCTCTTTGGGTTATGCAACCTGGCCGAGAGACGGGAGACGCGAGAGACGAGGATTGCGTCGACTGCGCCGCCGATACTGCACGCTCGTTTCACCGAATCTTACCTCACGAAGAGCTTGGCTAACTCCGCCGGGCTAACCTTCCGCCGATCCACCGCTCCGTGGCACGTCACGCCGCTCTTCCTTCTAACCGCCGGCAACGGCACGCTAACGGCTCGCAACACTGCGCAACGATCCAATTTTTCTTCTCACTTTTCTTCCCTTCCTCGCTCTCTGGCGATTAACCCTTTTCGGGAGACCGGGTGCTAGTCGACGCACTACCTCCATTGTGGAATTGTTGTTGGAACCCCATCGATGTGAATCCTCTTTGAATCTACATACGTCGTGGCCGAAATTTTCAACTCGCCAGTCTCGTGCGCAAGGTAGCTCAAAATATTCCGAAGGGAGATACTCGAGGACATGCAGATGTAAAGAAGAAGAGGGGGACGGTAGGATGGTGCACTCGATTCTTAAGATTGGAGGATCCGTAGCGATTGCCTCAATATTCAAATTGCTTTGGCTTTCAGTCGGTGTACTCCTGTTATTGGAAAGTAGAGCTTCCTTCGATCATACCCGTTGTTGTGCCAACAATTACAATTACAATTACAATTCTACCTACAGCCGCTGTCGAGTGAAAGATTAATCTATCAAGCAATCCAAGATCCAGGAACGAGGAACGGTGGAAAAAACAAAAAAATCCTGCTCGTGTTCCGTCTCTAACAACCGTAATTCGTACTCTGTTTTATTGCTCTCGATACAAACAATTCATCCGTAGCAGTGTAGAGAAAGATTGCAGCCGCGCGTGAATCTCAACCATACACGATCCATGATTTCACGTCTGTTCTCGGAAACCTTTCCGCTGATTACAATACCTAGGCTATTTAATATCCTCCTATAGTCTAGCTATTGATTTGTAATTCGGCCAAGGTTTACCAAAAGCTTCCATTCGCAAAGATAACGAATATCGTTGCAAAGCGAGCAACGATCGATCTCTCTCTCTCTCTCTCTCTCTCTCTCTCTTTTTTTCTTTCTCTCAAGCGACGTGCGTGGATCGTCGAGATCGTCGACGAAGCTTTCGACCATAAGGGTCGTTCGTGGACGTAGGAACGTGAGAAACCGCACCGCCACTATATATTACACCTATCGTTTCGTTCGAACAGGCGTGCATTGCCCGATTCATTCGATCGCACGAATACGTGACCCGTTGCCTAACTGTATCAATCATTTATTGTGTACGAAAAAATAGTGTCTTTTCTTTTTTTTTTTTGTTTTTTTTTTTNTTTTTTTTTTTTTTTTTTTTTTTTTTGTTGTTTTATCTTACATCCAGCGTGGAACGTGGCGTGTTTCGCAGTTGCCGGTAACCATATCGGTATTAAGTTAAACACGCGGTAGAGTTTGTAACGATGTCGACGTCGGGGGAGTGGGATAGGTTGAAGGTAATTTGGAGGATATTTTACAATGGCAAAAAATGGCAGTTGAAACTTACGTGTCTAAAAGAGAAGTAGCGAGACAGCGTAGCACAGGGCATGGCGCGTCGATCGCGCGTTTGTTCGTTCAAGCTTTCGAATCGATCACGACCGCAACCGGCCGCGATCGAGAGGACGAGACGCGTCGTCTCGTAGCCGTACCACGCCGTAACAAACGTGCGTTTATCGTTTTGCCGTGGCACTGCACCGAAACGATTGCGTGCGCGTCGTGCGAAAGACACATCGGAATTGCGACACTCCGTGCGTTATTCGTGAGAGAATCCATTTGTAGGAAAGCTTCGCGGGATATTGCGTAAGCAGAGAGGGAGCTACGATGGCTGCACCGGGGGAATTCTCCTAGGACAAGTGTTCGCGCACGCAAACTCAGAGTCTATTTTTTTTTATTTTTTTTTTTTATTTATATAGCTTCTCTTCGTTGGCGATTGGCGAACACTACTAATCGTGTTTAAATCCGCGAATTGCGCGAGATTTCCCTTGGTCTAACTTTTCGGTAGCAAGTTGAAATCGCAGAAATAATCTACAATGGTTTCCCCTTTGGTGCAGCAAACACAGCTTAGAACATCGTAAAGCGTAACGACGGGAGGTCGTCGCCTGATCGATCTAATTGACTTCTGTGTCGGATCAACAACGACTGGATTCATGGAAGACACGCTGGAATAATAATTTTTCAACGCGGTACGCGATCGCGACGTATCTCGGTACCTCGCGCAACGAGAGGAAAGCTCGATCGATTCGGTCGAACGATGCCGCTGTTAATAACGCCGCTGCGTTAATTCGACTTTGACCTCTGGAACGTGCAGACCGTGTGGAACATCGTGAAATACGGAAAGTTTCTATTTAGGAATTCCTCGCGTTAGTACTTTTTCTGTTTTTTCTTTTTTCTTTTTTTTTTTAGACAAATTCATAAACCTAGACGGACACGAACCCTCGACCTTCTTATAGGTAAATGCCTCTCGATTTCGCCCTTTTCGTTTCGCCGCACCCAACTCTAGCCTAATCCGACGTCTAGGGACATCATTACCAAAAAACCAACGACGGCGGCCCAGCTGGCGAGTTTGCCGTTTCCGCTGCAATCAGAAAGCAAGAAACGTGTGTTTTCTCTGAGACATGTCTCGCACCTGAGACGACAAGCCACACCAACATGCTCTCTTTCTTCATGTACAGGAATGGATCCCTCGGGAGAGACTCACAGTGGCTCGCGAGAGTATATATCTCTCAGAGGCTGTAAAAACTTAGTTACCACGTGGTAGTAAGTTTTCAAATGGAAAGTCTGTTTACAAAGATTCTATTCCTTTTATTGGCTACAGTTGCAAATTTGTAGGCTATGCGCGTTTATGTTTCAATTGTTACAAGATGAATATCATTCCGTGTGAAAAAAAAAAAAAAAAACGATTTACGATTTCTCCTTTTCGCGAGTCACTGTGAGAAACGTAGAAACTGGATGGTTCAACGACGAAGGAAACTCGAACTACGATTAATTGAACCTGGATGGTGAAAAACGACGGTGGAAAGGAAATATCGGAGTCCATGTGAACGTTCGAGGATGGTCCAGATGCACGGTGCGCGCGCGCGCGCGTGTGTGTGTAACACGACGAGGAAACGAAGAACCAGGGGAGAAAGAATGCCAGGATAGCGAGAAATAAAAGGGTTTTCGCGATATAAGTAGGGATTAAGCACACACAAAGCACACACGTTCTCTCGTGGCCGGTATTGCACGTCACGGCTTGTTGATTTCGTAAATTATACACGGCCATCAATTTTAACGGCCGGTGAAATGCGCCGTTGTGTTTCGGTGGGCGTTCTACCATATCAATCATATCCGCGCGGTAAATACCTCCTTTCGGTGTGCCTCAGAAATTTGTATTTTTATTAGCGGTCCCGGCAGGACAGGAGAGAACGACGCGCGAAATTCCACGCGGACAAATGTCTCGATCGACGAGAGACGTTTGTGTCCTCGTGCTTAAAGGTATCATCGGAAGTATGTTCTTTACAGCCGGCCGGCGGCGGGCAGGCCACAGCTTTTCGAAAAGTAGGCGAGATCGGCCGTTAGAGTCGGCCGGTGGTGTGTGGCGATGCTCCGGGCCCCCGAAACGAGGCATTCCTTTTCACCGAGCGCACACAATCATGCAAACGATCACCGAGGACCGACCGAGGTTCCAAGAATCCCGGCTAGCTCTCTTGCATCGCTTGAGAAACCGCGTTGGAGAAAAATGAATTCCCGAAATAAACGTGAGAAGTCCCGAGTCCGAGTTCGATAGCTAACCGACATACTAACGTCTCGTTTCTTTCTTTCGTTTTCTCTTCGTTCTTTCTCAGTCGTTCTTTCGCGCTAACGAAATAAAAATTCACCGATCGCGCGTCGGACCTCGCAAACTTTCTACCGTTCTTTTCGCGCTTCCTTTTTCAGCATCAGCCGAAGGATCTCGGATGGAGCGAGGCAAGTTCACCTTTCTCGAGGAGGACTTTGCTTGTCCTGTTAAACCAGAAAGCAAAGCGAGTATTGTAATCGCGCTCTCTTTCTCTCTCTTTTCCCTCCCCCCTTCCCCCGGTCTTTTGGAAATGATCACACGCGGTGTGCACGCGGGAGAGAAAGAGGCTCCTCTTCGGCCTCTGTCGGAGGTCAAGCAACGGTTTTAAAACCGAAGGGGGTTTGTCACTTTTGTATTTTTCCCCGGAAGCCGAGAGGGTTCCACGAGGGAGCGAACGTTTGGCTCTCCACCGTGTCTCAGGAGCGGCGTGTGTCGTCGTCGTTGTCGTCGAGGCAGTTAGATCGCACGCGAAATACAAAAGGAGCCAATTATAATGACAATGCGTCTTCAGCTAGGCGGTCGAGCCTGGGAAAGAAATTCGCCACGTCCGTTTTACCAACGACGACAACGACGACGACGACGCCGCGCGCTAACTACGCTACTGCCGTCACGCGCCATTGTACCGTAATCGTTCTCAAACATGCGTCTCGTGCATGCACCTCCGTCTCTTTCTATATGCCTCTACGATCCTATTCTCGTTTACCTTTTCTTGGTTGTGGAATAACAACAACAACAACAACAACAACAACAACAACAACAACAACAACGACAAGGCCCGAATGTATTTTCAAAGAGAGAAAGAGAAAAAAGATTTCCAATACTCGTGTGCTCCTCCATTTCTATGCAAATGGAACGAAGAAAATTCTACGAACCTCTGATGCGCTTCCGGAACGATGTCGTCGATCACGACATAGATCATTGCACCGGCTGCGAAGGCGAGCGCATAAGGTAGCGCGGGTTCAGCGAACGTCACTCCGACCGCGCCAAGGACGCCGGCCAGAGGTTCCACCATCCCCGAGAGTTGCCCGTACCAGAAACTCTTTAACGTGCTGATCCCAGCCGCTTGAAGGGGCAGAGACACTGCCAGCCCCTCTGGAAAATTCTGAATACCGATTCCGATCGCCAGGTTCCTGCAATGAGAAAAAAAGAGAAGGAGAAGAAAGGCGTAAGAAAAAAATTCAAGTGTCCCTCCTAAGTGAGTGTTGGACGAGACAGGAAAAAAATAAGCGTGTCTGGCTTTTAAAAAATAAGCGAGAAGCCGCGTATCGATCGATCGATCGAACGACAAGGATAAAGGTGGAGGAGAGACACAAGGTGACTCTCTGGTGACTCTCGTCACGTTCGATCGTTCCGCGAGTTCTCGAAACTCTGCCGACCACTTCGACATTCTCTAGATTTTTCCATTCGCACGAGCTACTACTCGACTCGCGGGTTTCTTCACCCGTGATTTCTGGACCTGGGTTCTCGCTGTATACACGGCGAGCTAATCGTTCTCTCTCCTTTAGCGGAGTCGTTTCCACTAAAAACGCGCCGATTGTTTCTCGGTTTCTTGCTTCTCTTTCACGCAAGTGATCGGCTAGAGATCGTTACAGCAGATTGTAATGAAGGGGAGAGAGAACGGAGGAACGAAAGTAAGCTGGAGTGAACGAACCAATGCTGAGTGAATGAACCAATTACGCGATCGCGTACGTGCGAGTAACGTTCGTGTGCACGCGAAACGGGTATCGCACTGGCTTGCCTGCCACGGTTCTTCCGAGGGAACTTCCAAGTCGGTCGATCTACGATCGCGCGTGTCAAGGGAATTCGATGGAATGGTAAGTGAGCGAGGGAACGGTATATATCGGAGCGATTCAATATACTCTCTACTCGCGAGATACAGTTTAACAGAGCTTGGCGAAGTATTTAAAAGGTCTAATAGGAGAGTGGAACGATGGAATCCACTCTTTACTTCCAAGATGTTGTGTTACACTTCGCAGAGACTCGCTCTTGTTGAGAATTTTTTGTTCCAAAATTGTAACATTTTCTCAGTTTTAAGTATACCTAAGTGAAACAAAATGGGCAAAGCAAATAATAAATTTGTTACTTGTCAATAATTTCTATCCACCGACGAATTCAAAAAGAAAGCGACGAATTGTTGTATACAGTATGGTCGCTCGTTACGGTCCGCAATCAGTTCGCCAGCGCAAGTGGTTAAAAAGCAGAACTATGGACGCCCAAGCGGATAATTCTCGATAACAGTGAAAAACAAATCTAAAAAACACCTGGAGATAGAAAGTTAAAGGGAAAGAGTTTCGTCGCTTTGGTTCTCGACCAAGGAGAAAGACTACGGGGCCGCGCGCTGGCTTCTACGCGGTGGATCGTCAGATGGATTTCCAACGTCAGGTTAGAATTTCCAAGGAACAATAGATTAGCGGTCGGCAAAGTGGTTAGAGAAGAGCAAAGTGGTCGAGCAGGTGAATGAATGACGCGATCCAAGCTCCTTCTTCCGATGGAGGCATGATCGCCGCGCTCTCTCGTACAGGCCGAGCACATGGTATGGCATGGTATGGCATGGTATGGTATGGTATGGTATGGTATGGTATGGTATGTCATGCCGCGGCGTGTAGCACGTTATTTCATAGGACGGCATCGTCGTCGCGTTCCTACAGCATCGACGTACATAAGTGGTTGTACAGTTAACCCGTCGGGTCCGGCTGTTCGCCAGTTGCATCAGGGGAGGTCATCCGAGTTCCAAGAATGATCGTCCCCTACCACTACAACCACCACCACCACCACCGCCACCATGCCTCTTGGCTTCACCTTCTTCGCTTTTCTCTCTCTTCGTCTCGCCCCGTTTCGCTCCGTCCTTCTCCCTCGTTTCTACGTTCCTTCGTCTCGTTTCTCTCGCTCCCTCGCCAACCGCGCCCTCCTACAGGCACAGGTTTCTTTTCCTTCCTGACTTCTTCTTTCTGATTTCCACGGTCAGGGCCGCTACTCCCGATTCGTCTACCCTGTTACCAGACAGCTAGACCGGCCAAGCGCTGCGTTGTTCCGGGGAGCCACCGGTCCAAGCTACTTTCCCGCCGTGCGCCTTTTCGTTTTTTCAAGTTCCCGCCTCGCGGTCAACACGCCTTGCCAAGTTGAAGGGTGGCGCGTGACACACCGAATTACTCTTCTTTGAACAGCTTTAGCTATCAGAAGTGAAAGTTTCTCTTCTCTGACCACAACAAGGCATCGTGGATTTCTAAATGCTTTCCTTAAACCTACGCTCGCTTTAAACTTGCATGCCAAAGCACCCCTTGCTTCTTTGAAAGAAACGAGAGAGAGAGAGAGAGAGAGAGAGAGAGAGTTGAAAAGAAACCTGCAAAGCAGAGAGGCCCATTCACAAAGTTTTTTGGCGCTGTTGCGCGCTAGCGAGACCACGCGTGTAAAGGTTCACCTTTCAAATTAGAAACGAAGGCATCCATCGCCCGGGGAATTACTGCGCGAGGGCGTCGCGCTGTCTCGAGCTACGAATCCGAGATTTCTCCAAGCAGAGAAGCGGAGAATCTCACCGGAGAAGCGGAGAAGCATAGATCTCACCGAAAACTGGTATCTCTGTCGAACGACAAAAGAAAAGTAGCACGCCGGTGTATCTTGATTCTGACAGTGGTCAGAACTCGTGGCAGAGTCAGCACCGTTATACGTGCGTTTTCGACGGAGAGCTGAATAGATATCTATGAAATAGCTATAAAAATTTTCCTTGTCGGATGACTGACGAAACTGAATAAAATTAAACTGACGGTGTCACACATATGGAGCAAGTCAACGGACTTGTACCATCGAGTACACGTAACAGCTTTGCGTGTATAGCTCTGCCAATGTGTACCAAAATGGCGACCGAGTAGTTTCGTCGAACGCATCGCGGTCGCCATTTTGCATTCCACGAGCAACCGTGACTGTCTTTAAGGTGGCAACACCTATCTTCAGCTTAAACGACGAGAGAGAGAGAGAGAGAGAGAGAGAGAGAGAGAGAGAGAGAAAGAAAGAGACGCAAATTACTTCCTTTTTTCTCTTTGTCTGACTTTGAGAGATCAGAGCTGAACAACGCGCTCGATTCCAAGCCTTATAAACCCTTTGTCAGCCGCGTCGATCAGAACGATCAGTCGTCGTTTCGATCGAAAATAACGCGACCATCAGCAAAATTCGATACGCGATAACGAGCCGTTTTTCGCATACATCCGACCGAAGTCTCCGCTTTCAAAGAGGGAACGAACGCGGAGCAAACGAGCGAGCGCAGCAGGGGAGAGAAGGAAATCGAGGGAGAAAAGGACGCGTGCGGAGGAACGATCCCAAAGGACTCGCGAAGAATCTCCGTTGCGGTGGAATTGACCGCGCGATTGGCGAACCTACGAGATGCGAATAGACCATAGGCTAGAGGTTCTATCGTAGGATAGAAAAAGAGAGGCGAAGGCACCGGTGTGACGTTCGTGTGTGTGTGTGTGTGTGTGTGTGTGTGTTATGCGCGAGTGGTTAGGTGCGCGCTCATGTTCATATACCGTGCGACGCGCGTTAAAAAGAGAGACGAAGGGGAGAGAAGCGAACGAGGGAGACGAGCGTGGACGTAGAAACGCGTTTGTATGAGAAAACTAAGGAGCGAGCAAGACAAAAAGGGGAGGAGAGAGGAGCAGGGACAGGGGAAGAGAAAGAGAAAGAGAAAGAGAAAGAGAAAGAGAGAGAGAGAGAGAGAGAGAAGAGAGAATGAAGGAGGAACGAGAGAGGGAGTAAGGAATGCATGGGAACGAGGCGCAAGCGGGCCGACCGCGATTTGCCCGTCCCGCATTCCACCAACGCCAAGGCGAGTTCTCCGGCTCTTCTCGGCTCCGAGTCCCGAGGCCACCGGCCACGGCTTAACACCATAAAATCATAAGACCAAGATCAACCCCGCGCTCTCTTCTCTCTGCTACCTCCGGCATCGTTGCGCGCCTCTTAATGTCAAATAGAAACGCGTTTGCCCGATTCCTCGCGAACCTGTTCCACCGTCTCTCTTTCTCTCTCTCTCTCTCTCTCTCTTCTCAACCCTCGTCACCCCCTTGCCGCGAGAGACGACAGAGCCTTTTCTAGCCGAAACGCGAGGCAACCGGTCGGTAGTTGCTCGCTCGTGTTAAGATGAAACGATCCCTGGGTCTGGAGGCTGTTTTCTCCGTACCCTACGACCACACCGCGACGCAAAAGTTTCGCTGAAACGAGAAATTTCACCCGTGAAATAATTGGCGCGCATTCCACATACGGGGTAAGGTGGCTTTTGCCGAATTGGGAACGGCCGCGGCCGATCGCGAAATTCCGACAGCAGATGTCCGTACGGACGACGAACACACGGCGAGGAAGAAATAGCCGCGGCCGCGCGTGTACAGTCGCTGGCGCGAGCGATTGGTCCGGATGGCCGGTCGCGGCCGGTAGTTCGATCGGCAAGGAGACGACGCTAGTTCGTCGAATAGTCAGTCGGTGCAGACGATCGTCCCGAGGTCGTCGTCGAGGGACATAACGGATCCGGCTGTTTGTCTGTTCCGAGTAAGGTACGTGGCGCGCATGCGTAATGCCCGCTGCATTCCAAGCATTGCGAAGTCGCTGCACCGTGCGCGCCGGTGCATCGCCCGATGCCAGAGAAAGAGAAACGAATTAACCGAGACACCGAGCAGAAGCGAGAGATAGACGTGGCCACCGAGTGAAGAGGGAACAGGAGGAGGAAGCCGCAATGACAAATGTGCCTCCGATCGTTCGTTTGATCGACCGTTTTCATCCATTATCTTTCCCCTCTGCTTTCGTTTTTACTACGCGCGTCCTTTCTGCCGAAATATGCACGACTCTTTTCTGTTTTTTTTTTTTTTCTTCATACATTCCTCTGGTATTATAGTGTCCTTTTTCTTTTCTTTTTTTTTCTTTTTCCGCTAATGCGCTAATGCGCCACAGTCAAAATCGAGCTGAGACAACGAGAGAAAAGGAGACGAGAGAAACGCTAGCCGAGAAAAGTATCGGCCTAGCGGACAGCTAGCTTAGAGAATGTCTCGCGAGTCGAGTTCTCAGAATCTTTCGGCCGTGAACGGCTGTATTCGCGAGAGAGCGAGAGAGAGAGAGAGAGAGAAAGAGAGAGAGAGAGATGGGGAGGGAAAAAGACGGCGGAAGAGAAGAAAAGAGAAACGGTGTACGGCCGTGTAACGACGCGATCGAAATCAATGCGAAAGGAATGCTCGTCTTCCGTTGATAACGGAAGGCGGTTCTTGTCGCGAAGAAGGTTCCGAGTTACGGGTTTAGCGTGTCTATCGCCGCGCACGTGCATTCGTAATACTATGCACCGAAGTTAAACGGGAAGTACTATATCGTAGCTGACTTCCTTTGCTATTAGCACACGTCAGAACGAGCTTTCTGCGTGTGCGATAACCACGCCGAGTACAAAGTGCAACGATTAAGGAAAACTGTAGAAACTGCAACGCGACGCGTTGCCGAATTTAAATGTCGTTCGCTCCCTTTCGAAATGTCGGGCCGAGCAAATCTTTGGAGAAAGACTTTGCTAGCTCCGATTACTGGATTCAGTTCTACTTCAGAAATACAGTTCGAGGAGCGACTCGTGCCTTATTAGTTGTGTGGTGTACGATTGTTACGAGACTTCGAAGGTGAAGGATGAGAGAAAGAAAGAGAAGGAGAGATAGATAGTCGGAGACGAAGCCCGAGTAAAGAAAGGACAGGAGAGATAGGAAACCAGGGAGAGGAAAGGTAAAATGGTAGAGAGAAGAGAGTGGGCAAGTAAAAAGAAAGGAATAGAGATGCGAGGACAGAGAGAGAGAGGGGCCGCACTGGTCGGTCGGTCGGTCGGTCGGTTGGTATATAATAAGGCAGACAGAAGGATATGTATGTAAGTATGTACATATATGTATATATACATACGTACGTACGTACATACATATATATATATAGAGCACTGAAATGAGGTGGTTTCGTCGGCAACTTTGTTTGGCGCCGTGTTTAACATAGCCAACACCTCATTTACGTGTCACGCCAATCCGCCACTCTGCTAGTTTCTCCGTTTTATGCTATTTTTCATTTTGCTTCACTCGCTCTCTTCGCCATTTTTTTCTCCATAATCGAATACACATGAAGAGAACGAGAGAGAAAATATATATTCGACGCTTTCAAACTGGTGAAAATTTCGGTTCAGTCAATCGAGGGGAGAAATAACATCAAATTACACGATGGAAATTGATTGCAAGCGCAATTGACAGATGCTCGTTACAGAACACGAGAATAGATTCTAGCGGCGATTCGAATGACGAACCTCAAAGGCGAAACGAGATAAGGACCGTAGCGAGATTCCGCGAAAAATCCGCATACCTCCGCGGGTGACTCAGTACCGGATCTCCTTGAGCATTTTACGAGTGCAAATATCGTCGTCGTTCCCCTATCGGCTCTGCCCGCCCTTCCACTCGTCCTTTTCTCTTTTTTTCCCCTCACTCTATTTGCCCTGTCTGCTTACTCTTGGCTATTCCAACACGGCGCGGATGCTGACGTGAACGGTCACGCGCTACCAATCAACCACCGCGGCCGAACCTTTCATTCATGGTTCTTTCGGCGCCTCGGAAGGAACACACGAGAGAAACATTTCGCCTTCTGTCACTTCAGTGTGAGAATGAATTACCTCTCCTTGGGAAGGACACGTCGCGACCGATCGATCGATCGATAACGTAAGCGGATCTGTTGCGTAAAGCCTCGTTTCCATCGCGAATCGCCGATGACGACGTTTTCCTTGACCGGTACACACACCATTTGCCAACGATCTCTCGCTCCGAGAGACCACCTCATTCCTTTTTTTTTTTCTTTTTTTTCTTTTCATTCGTGTCGTTTATTAAGAACGAGCGAGTTTTCTAGATATTTTTGCACCGATCAACCCTCTCGAAAATACGCTCGACGCAAGTAGCCTTCGTGAGAATGGAATGTCGTTGGTAAGCCGACGAGTTCGGTTACAAAAGGGCATGCTGGCTGTATAATTGCTCTATAAGGTTGAACGATTTTTCGAACGCCGTCACCGTCAGCGTTCACTTGCTCGTTCGTCGTCGTTTCGTTTCTACATCACGATTCCCAATCAACGTACGTACGTAACTACTCCTAAATGGAAAAATATTTTTATTCGTTGGACGAACTTTCCTTTGCCGAAGGAAGATAGTCGTTGGATGATGAGAGACCCGGAGAATACCGATAAGAATACACGCACGGCACGAACCAGTGCGTGGCGATACGCACGACGCCGATATATCGGCCGGGGTCATCTTTCGGACCGAGTCGACGATTCATTCATAACCGGGAAACTTGCGCGATACCGCGCGCTTACGTCGCTTCGCTTATCGCCTGGCTTTCGCTCGTTCATTCTCTTTCCTCTATTTTTATCACGAGAATGAAACAAAAATATAGCTCGTGTATCTTCTTTTTTTTTTTCTTTTTTTTCATAGCGAGATTTGGCGTCGAATTGAAAGTCTCCTTAAATTTTTCATCGGCGAAAGTTGTCGTTTTTCTGGCATTCACCAGATGAAATCGAGAAAAAAAGAATTCTTTCTTTCTCTCTCTCTCTGTATTTCTTAATTATCGCGCGACAAAGAGGAAAACATCGACACGGTCCATTCATTCCACGGATACTTAATGACCTACGGACGCTTGTAATCTTGACTCAGATATTCAAGCAGCGTCGTTCAAACGTTGCGAGATTCGGGTATGACGCGACGTCGAGTTTCGTATTTGTATTTTGATGGAATCGTTCTATATATACATCGTTTGAACATTTTTTAACAGATATGTTGGCATTCAGTTATTGGCCTAAATCCTCACGCTTCTGATATTTTTACATCAGTCTAAAAATAAAATTGTACAATTTTAATACGCAATAAAAGAATTTGTTGAAGTCTAAAATTTCTAATCTTGTTTGGCAATCAAAATATCCATGTGAGAGTTGCTTTACGAACGAAAAGATACAGACGAGCTCTCGAAAGTCATTCATACAACAAATTCCAGTAACTCAAAGAAAAATTTTGACCATATTTTTTGGCATATTACGGAAGTAGGGAACGAAATTATCGTTCTACGTTTGTTATATAGAAAGAATACTGTACCCTGTTCAACTGTCGGTCGAACAAACGAGAAAACTATGGCTGGCTGCCAGCATAAAGATCAAACGTTCTTCCATCTGCCATTTTCATAACGCGTAAAAAATGTTCTCGCGACCGAAAATAGACGGACAACGATGATTGTCAAGTGCTAAGATCCTTGACTAACGGAATCGGAAATAGTCATTTGCGTGCACGTGTCGGTTCACGTGCACGTTCTTACAATCGTAATGATAAACGTCGCTTTTCCCCTACTGTTCCCCTACTGGTTGATCACGAGATTCGTTACTGCGAACCATCTTGTCGAGCGGATTCGAGAGAGTTGTTGAAAGAATTCGAAAAGAGGACTCTGAAACAAGATTGGGGAACGAGGAGGGGAGGGTCAAATTGACGGGATATATCTTCAGGATAGGAAGAAACGAAGGAACGAGGAGAGTGAGAGAGAAAGGTCGGAGATATGGGAACGCGCGATATCGTTGACATTTTCTATAAATAAAGTTTACGTCAGGCCAGCCGGCTTCGGTAGAAATGAAATCAACGTCATACCGTTCGATGTAGTTGTCGCTACCACGTCATCGTGGCAGGCCGTGTTGTTCCCAAAGGCGGTAAGGAGAGCGGGTTCGGGATAAGTCGGGATTGGTGGGACGCGGGGGGAAGTGAGGAAAAGGGGTATGGAATGGAATGCGCGGCGCCTAGGGCTCGTTGAATTCCAGGGCCACACGTGCCCTTTCCCCGCGCAACAGGCACCCACTGCTGCCAATAAACTTTGCCTGCGGCTGGCACTCGCGACCGACCACCATAGAACTCATTCATGGGGACCTCCTAGCACGCGCCTCGTAACTTGCGTCCGCTTGGCATCAATGGTGCTACCGTCTATCGGCGACTTGCTCAACCTCTTTCTCAATCGTAGCTGTCACGTTCCACTTGCTCCAACTGTGTACGTATGTACTTGCGCCTTTCACCATTATCGACGTATCGAACGAACGAAATTATTTTTAAATTAAATTACACGCGAAGAGAAAAAGGAGGATACAAGTTTCGATTACACTCGCCTCTCTCGCGCCTCAACAACGAAACTCTCCTACGGTCGCTGTTTCAATCAAACGTAGATACTCGTTTTTAATGTATTCGATGCAACTTTTTCCCAGACCTTCGAACAATTTAACGATGATGATTCTTAATGAACCTGATAGGCGCGATTGATCGAAGTGAATTTTACTTTATTACGTGTAATTGAAACATCGATCCACATAGCTCGCACTATGCTGGCTTCTTAGAATCTATTCTTGCCTGTCGAAATAGGATTTTCATCGAGTTTGAAGTTCGGCTTTCCGCTTAAAATAACTCTCGCTTCACGACGTACGGAATTCTGACGTCTTTGGCGTATTGTTACGTATCTGCCAAACGGAGTAGGTTTGTTCGTGGCTCTTTGTTATTTTGCCGAGACGCAAAAGTGTTGCTTACCTCGCATTTTCAAATGTTGCTGATACGCTATTACCAACCGCGGCGAAGCCAACTCCAACTGCAAGACCTTCTGGAATATTGTGTACCTAATGCATTATAAAAAATCGAATTGAATCATCTTTTTATATTTAATGATATATTCCATTATTGTAGATGAATTTTAGAATAAATTCGATGAGTTTACGTACTGTAATGGCAACGACCAGCAACAAAACTCTTCTCCACTGGTTGTTTTTACATTCGTTGTTAGGATCTTCGTAAATTGTGCTTATCTCTCCTTGTTCCGCAGGCCTGTTTACATTTGCAGTTTGACGCTTGCGGGTATTTTGTTCATAGAAGCCTGAAAAAAACGCAACAACAACAGTGATGTACTATGTTAGAATATCATTTCTTGATAGTTGTTTAATTTTATGTATATACGTAAGCCCATTAGATTTAAACATAACTTTTTTTCCTTTCTTTTTTTGTCTTCCGAACTGAAGCACAGTAAAGCTTATAATACCCGGCATTTTCTATTCCATCTTTCGCATCTCTTGTGTATTACATTTTAGATCCGCAGGCAGGATTAATAAGATCAGTTTTGCAAAATAACGGTACTCTTTTAAACACGAACGACAAAACTTACAATCTGCTGTATTTCATCCAGTGATGAAGCATTTTGTAACATTTAAAAGAATTACTAGCACGTTGTCAGTATATGTCAGGATAAATTTAAAAAAATTGCACGTTATATCTATCTATATTTTATCGATCGTGTTTGTTCAAGTTCCGCTTATTCCTCGAGGATGCTTTTTCATGCTATTTATTTTGCACATTTTTGCAAGCATTAACTGATAAACGTTCTAACTAACGGCTAACTACTAACATACACAGTATAACATTGCGCACAACAAAAAATTATATGCACTGTTCAGAAATAAGCAACGGTGATGTCGATGAGTCGAAGAAAACTAATAGCGTTGTAAATCTTTTTCTTGTAGAGGCAATATGCATAATTGCTTGTTTCTGAACGAGTTGTATCGCTTATTTGTACAAGAAAGCAAAGAGGGGCGAGTGTAGATTGACATTTTTAAACATAGACATAAATAGTAATATACACGTGTATGGTGAACTGATCCCATTTTCCAAGCCTACAGAGAGAATTGGATGTTACAAGAAAAAAATGTGATACCATCGATGGTGGTGGACTCAATTTGAGTATACATTTTTCCACCAGATATCTGTACGTCGTTATACGGATCATAATCGTCTAAATCCTCGTCACTCTTTAGTTTTGCAAGGATCTTGCGTCTTTGTTTCGTACCGACTGATTGCATAGCTAAAAGCACATTAGGGGACTGAATGCCAAGAGAAGATATCAACGCGTCCGTCCCATAAACGAAAGCCGCGCCTATGAGAAATCCAACTCCGATTGGTACGAACGCGTATTCGCCTTCCTCTCCGTAAATTTTGCTCTTTGTCGCCATTTCGATAGCAGGTGCCAGTAGCGACCAGTAACTTGCCGCTATCATCACGCCGCCCGCAAATCCCAGACTGATGTCCAACAATTTACGCTGCAATGAAACGCGTACAATCATTTAGTATAATTCCCCTTTCATCTCTTAATTTATATGCATTTAAAATGTCAAAGTATGATTTAACTAGCAAAGGAGATCAATGAAACGTGCAATGTTTTATTCGGTATAGAATAATTAATTATGTCGTAATGAACTTGGTATTTGGAAAAGTTAATCGTTTAGTGCACTCTAAGATAGTTTTGTTCTTTCTTTACTGTTGCACAATCAATTAATACTTCCTGAAATTCATACGTTGTCTTGTTGGTATACAGATAACATACTTATCTTATCAGACGAAATCATGTTCGTAATAGTTTTTTTTTTTTTTTTTTTTTAAAGAAAATAAAAGAATTCTAATCAGAGAAAGGTGTAGCTGATGTATTGCTCACTGAAAGTTAGATAAAATTTCGTGTTTTGGTTAATTTTTGATCTACTTTTGCGTCTTTTCGCGACACGTGACTAGCAGAATCATAAAAACGCCAGTTTCAAGTTTAGGAAATCAAAAATACGAGATCGTAAAAAGTTCGCACGAGATCGCACAAATATTTTTAAATAGCTTCCTTTTACGTCATCAGTTTCGATCACAGTCCATCCATTCATTAGCTGCGAACAGATGCACGTGATGCACCACATATATCTCAGGTTCGATAATTTATATCGATATGGATTTGAATCAGATAAATCCCTCCCCGGAAGTCAGTCGGTAACGTTGCTATCTACTAGGTCGACTCGAATTTGTCGAATATCGACGCATGGGATAACTTTTCACGCCGCAATTTTCTAAACTCAAAACTGGTACACTTGACATTTATTAAGTTGATCGTTGTCAAAAGATACAGAAACAGATCAAATAATTGAGATATCTTGAAACAAAGAAAGATAAACCTTAATTGATTATATTGTAATCAATTATCGCGCAATACATTTTTTAATTGATCGAATTCACAGAAGAAACTATGAAGATGCTAATCGATACTACTTTCTCCTATATCTCACAAATTTACCGATTAGAAAATATCGTTCGCCAAGTCGTAATACAGAATTATAACCAAAAAGATCGCAAAATTGCAGAATATCGCGAATATCGTACCGATTTCATCATAGCGTGAAACATTCTCGAGTGTGTTACTTTTGACATTTTCAAAACGGAATAATTCCCGCGACGAGTGAAGACGAGCAAAGCCGGATAAGGTTAGTATGTGTTTCATAACTCAGGTTAGAACGGGGCGAGTATAATTATACTTTGATTAATGCAGCAGTAACTGTTGTAAATGCAAGAAACTGGGAGATGTTCGATGAAAAGAAGATGAGAAAGGAACGATGCTTACTTGTTTCCCTCGAATAACGATGACAAGTGCGGCACCCGCTGCGGTGAGAGCCCACGTAAATAACGTTCCTAGGAGCGCCTGCACGATCGGCGAATAATCCTTTAACATTGTACCAATCGTTTAGTCCTCGTCACCTTAGGCTACACCGTACATCCTCTGCAACGTGAACCACGAGGAACTGTTTCGTGGGACACAAAATCCGTTGATATGCATTCAGTCCCCCGCACTTATCTCAACCACCACCATCATCACTACCACTACCACAGTAGTTGCCACTGATACCTTCATTACAGTTACTATCACCGCTGAATATTGGCGCTGCTACCGCCACTTTACTACTACCAACGCGTATTCGCGTCTGCTCCGTGGTACGACCACTTCGTTCCCGTACTTATCAATTATGATTTCCGAACAGGATACGCAGAACACATTGACACGAAACCGGACGACGAGCATACGCAGTGAACGCGCGTTTATCAAGCATTCGCCCTTACGCACAAATGGGGTTGCTTGTACATACATGTGACGCCGAACACTTTCACAATTGACCAATGGCCATTTGCCATTTCCGATGGACCAATCCGGCAACGGCCTGCAGCGGCGTGCACAAGATTCGAACTGTGTTAAGCCGATGTCGAAACTGTTGCGATATTTGACAGATACGTCGTTTCGTACGTTGAAATTTGAGTCCGTCTGTCCCTAATGACGGTGACACGTTGTGAATTCTTTTCTAGAACCTCTACACGAAACGCGTCTACGTACGTATATTTCGCGCTTTTTCCCCTATGTTTCGACGAGGCGTTAGTATCGCTGGAAGCTTTTAGTAAAATACGCTAACATGGCGTCTGCGTCGGTAAGTGTACGGAACATTTCAACCCATCCGATTTTCATACATCGACGCCAAGTGTGTGTGTTTTTTTTTTTTTTTGCTCCCACCATTAACAGTTTGCTTTGAAGCACGTTGGAAGAATGCTTTTCGTCGTGTAAAAGCCATCGTTATCTTATTATCGTGTCGGAGGAGGAGTTACCATTGATATTTGTTCGTGAATCTTCGTGCGTATATTAGTTTAAAACAGGTGCAAATCGATATTTGTAATTATGGTTTTGAAGTGTGTACAGAGTCATTCTCGTTATGCGTCAATCTCTTTCCAGGAAAAGGAAAGAGAATTGTCGTTTATCATTCTGATTAACATTGTAATCATGGTCTGACGTGTAATATTGTTGTTTGTCAATAGCTAAATTTTCTATGTGGTTTCTTAGGTTCCTTTGCTAATGGATGATGATACGATTGCTTTTGGCGAGGAGGATGAACCGGGTCAAGATAATAATAAACTTAAGTATATCGAAGTTATAATTACATTAATATTTAGCACAAAATAATTAAATTCTGACACTGACAACATATTGCTACTTTCTAGACATCCATACGTCACTATGTTTCATTTAACCTTCAGAATATCAGCAATAGTAGCCTATATGTTATGTGGATGGTTTTCAAATAGCTTTATAACTAGTTTCGTTGTTGTTGTATTACTTTTGTCAATGGATTTTTGGACTGTTAAAAATATCACTGGAAGGTTAATGGTTGGTCTTAGATGGTGGAATTATGTGGATGACAATGGGAAAAGTCATTGGGTATTTGAATCCAAGAAGGTTTGTTTTTAATTTTTATATTTATTAGAGTCCATGTACGCATAGCTGATAAACTTAGAGGAAAAAATATTTAAAACTATGAATTGTAGATAGTCTATAATGAAAATTCTGCAAATGAGATACTTTTATTTATTACTAATAACAAATAAACGGATTAAAATAAATAAGATATCTCAAAAATAAAGCCTCAGTATTTTTTAATAATGCACTCTTCAAATAATATTAGTTTAAATACTTTCTCCAACAAATAAAATATTTTATTTTTAACGTTACGCATATTATTTACCATTTGAGATATTTAGCTTAGTTCGAGACTCTTGATATGTTGTTTCATTCTGTAGTAAATATAATTCATAACTGTACATATATATATCATTTTTATTCGCTACCTTTTTGGTATATGTTGGTTCTACCTGAATGGTTCAAGGCTTACCAGTTTTCACATTTTATGCCCTTGACACATTCTGGTTAAATAGAAAGGATAAAAACAGAAATTTAATGTTCTCTCTTGATAAATAACACTAAGAAAAAAATAGTAAAAAGGATTGTAATTATCTACTATAAAATACAAGGTCTATCATGTATACCCTGTGTTTCAGGGTGTTCAACAGAATCGTATCAATACCACAGAAGCTCGTATTTTTTGGTTAGCTTTAATTCTCTGCCCACTCTTGTGGTCAGTATTTTTTGTAGCAGCATTGTTTAGTTTGAAATTTAAGTGGTTGCTGCTTGTATGGATTGCAATTGTTTTAAGTGGTGCAAATTTATACGGATATGTAAAATGTAAAATGGGAAACGAGAAAAATATTTCCGCAGCCACCAGTGACTTTTTGAGAAAACAAGTCATACAAAACGTTAGTAAATAAATATTCTTCATATTTCGAGGGACATGCGAACCGTAAATATACACTCACACGTTATTGTGTCACAGGTTGCGTCCATGATGTCTAGGAGTCCACCCACAGGCAATCCAAATGAACCAACAAATGTGATATAAAAGTAGAATTTTTCTGCCATGATATTATTTAAAAATAACGTGAGTACTTTATTATAAAAACGCAATTTGTATATAACGATACTGACAATTGTATATCCCGATGAAATAATATAAAATAAAATTGCTATTGAACATATCATCGATTAATTATATCTTTTTGTGTTTTGAAGGAAAGGCTTAATGAAAAAAAAAAAAAAGGCGACGTTACGTTAGTTATTAGTTTATTGATGCCACAGGGCAATACATAATGTACACCTTATTTCTCCTTGTCAACAGACTTTCTATTACACAATATTTAATTTGTATAGGTGTTAATTAGTAACATTGCATTTATTATATTCACTTCAGCCTGTTGTATTCTTTCTGGCAAGAAAGTATCACAAAATAATTTCCCATTCTTTCAACGATATTTAATATTTGACTTATTCTTTGTTTCTTTAATTCACATTTTCCACGGAATCAACGACTGCAATCGAACGACTACAATCTTATCCGAATGGATGAACTCGAGATGATCTCACATACAGTGTAACGAACCCGTCGTGGTATTGCACGGAGCGACAATATGGCCGATTGTATTTTGTTGTATTAGGAAAGATTGCTCCGAAAACGCGAGTTTGCATGCTTTTTAAGAAGAAGAATACAACAAACCACATATTGCTATACACTCTGGGATATAAAAAAATTATAAACACTAACAATAGACACGCAGCTAACGTACAACATACACAAAACTTCTGGAATGATACAAAAGAACGTAATATTACAATTCGGTATCTTATAAATATATGAATATCGTGGACTTGTTTGAATTGGTAAATTCATCGGATTATAATTTAATTCTACTAACTTATATAACTAGTAATATGTTTTATACAATCATTTAACTTTTTCTCGTTTTCCGTAACGTATTGTATTTTTAGTCTGGAACTTTGAACGCGAAGTTGTCGACCGTCTTGGCGAAGCTGCACATTTTGTGCAGGATTTATATTTCTTCTCTCTTTTGTTAAATTTCTCAATATATCTATATATATGTGGGTGTACGTAGTTAAAAAGGTCGAATCCAAAGGTAACAACGAGTTCCTCAAAATCATCATACCAAAGAGTTTTAAAGTTTAGAGTTCGCTTCTTCCACGAATATGATATAGATCTTATGAACAGGTTATTTAAACTAAAGTCGCATTTTCCTTCCTGAATTTCGTTTCTTTAACCTTCTGAGAATAGATTTAGTCAGTTTATCGTTCACGGGAATGTATTTCTTTATTTTCTATGTAAATCTTTTCAGCCTTTTTGGTAATACATTCGTAACAAGTCGACTTTTTTTTTGTAGTAAGTTTCTATACCAATTGCAGCTTTTAACAATGGCACACTTTCGTCGGGGAGAGAAATTGTTTCAAGGATTACTTAATTGCTGCTGATTTGATTTACTGAAAAAACAGTCGTTTCGTGTCTCTTCATTGCCAGTAACAACGAATTTTATATTCCGAGGCAGAAGCACGATATCGCTAATTATATAGGAGTAAAGTGTAAAAAAAGACTAAGAAAGAAGAAAGTAAAGGTAAAATTATATAATAAATCAACGGCATATATATATAAAAAAAAAAAAGAAATTACAAAAATAGAATTACATATTTCGAGAGTAACTTTCGTGCTCGTACCAAAGGCCAGTATAATAACGATCGAAAAATAATCGAGAAACATGACAACGTATCTGCAAGCAAGAAAAAAAAAAGAACTCTCAGTCACAAAAAGAAGAGTCAGAGTGGATGCATATAAAGTGGATATGTACAAAAGAACCGGACACTCGGTAAAAATCTCGGAATTTCAATGAGAGACAATGAGAGAGATACAAAGATTAAGTATAGTATAATCTTTTATAATGACGACCGAGGCGGTTTAAGTACTTTTAGAAGTACCGAAAATATACGTACATGATAATACATTAGACACGCAATGGCCTTCAGTCTTACATCAAATAAAATGATATGAGATACGAATAAATGCACGCTCGGAAATAATACAGTAGATTAGTTAGTCTTCAATGTAAATCTCGTATAAAAAAATAGGTACGCATGATAACGAACTTATAACAATGTTAGAAAACAGTATCAAAAGGTGCGTTGAAAACCGAAAAGCGACAAAACGGATGGACAAAATGAACGAAACGTGCTTATATCTTGACAGTCTAGAAAATATCCACAGCTTTTTTTTTCTTTTCTTTTTTAAATGCGTACTCTCTTCAATTATGATATTTATAATATATATCTATGTATATATTATTTATTATTTTACTTATATTTATAATTATATCTATATTTATAGTTATATTTATATTTATATAATGTTGTTAATGACGAACGGTGCATTTATGTACACTTAGTCACAATTCCTAACCCTCGAACCACTTTTATAAACTGAAAATATATATATGTATATATATACGACTGAACGCCGTGAAATTTAAAAGTCGAATCTTAAAAAAAGTAACATCGATTCCTCTCTTTTTTTTTCATATTCTTTTTTTCTGTTTTGCCTTCTTTCCTGCTTGTTAAATCTTATAACGAGCTTAGATTACTGCACGGAACCGTTCGATGCCAAAAGAATGCCAAAAGTCGAAAGAGATTTTATTCATTCGGTATTTGTTAACGATATTCACGCACATGCACACACATATATGCACTGTATATTTTTATAACTAGAATTTTCTGCTTTACCATTATCGTCGAACAGCGATAGAATGATATTCTACACCGAACGATACGATTTGAAAATTTCGAAATATAGAAGATATATAAACGAGCACACATGCTTATTGTCCTCATAGACTACTTAGTTAGAATTTACCTTTGTAAATCTTTGAATTAGGCGATTAGTACACACCTCGAAAATTTCTATCGTTGTCAGAAAGGATACGCAGCATAAGACAGACGATGTATGATCAATCATTTCTTTCTTTTTTTTTTTTCTGTTTTTCTTTTTTTGGCATTGATTTGACGCGATGTGTCCGTGGCAAGGACGACGATCGAATAATTATAAGTTTTTTTCGTTGACTCTTCCCTTACGGTTTAATGGGCTACGCTTTTTCGATGGATCGTACTAGAAATGAGTTAATCTCCAGCGCGAAGCGAGCGTACTGTGATGATAGCTTAGCAACTGGGGCGGGGGGGAAAAATTGTAAAAGTAGTCGAGGTAGAAGCCTACAATGGAACTCTGTACACAAGGGCATCGAGGGCTTGATGGAATAGTACGCAAATCCGACATACAGTGCTTCTAGTTAGTTAAATTAGTTCGCGTAGAAACCTGCACATCACTTTTGTGCATTTTAATTGAATATAGGCACCGTTTCCTTTCATACTTCCTTCACTCGACACAGTCGCGTTATTTCCTTTCTTTTTTCTTCTTCTTCTTCTTCTTCTAATGGCATCGCTTACAGACTAATCTTAGAACAATCGCCTTACGATCTACTTAAAAATTACAGTAGGTAATGAGAAGATCCCTATCGTGCATAATGGATTCAGCATGAATAATTGTCGATTTGGCAGTATGGTAATTTTCTCGTCGCTGAGCGGAAATATTTTTACTGTCTCTCTGTGATTTCTCCTCCCCTTGTCTTCACCGAGATTTTCGCAATTTCTTTCTTGTCTCTTTCTCTCTGATGTCTTTTTTTCGTGTCGCATCGATAAGTACTTTTTGGAACGTGCCACGCGTGTGCTATCTTCTCAAACTTTTCTCGTTCGTAATGCGGTGCGTTTCGCGCCTTGTAGTATGTAGCTCACCCTCAGAGGTTTTATTATTTACGTTCCCCACTAATATGGAAGCACTGTTCTTCAACGAATAGGAAAGTTTCGAACGAAAATATTGTGGTATATGTTGATGTTTTAATCGCGAGACATGTGATCGTAAATTAATAATTCCCGTCAGTTTCTTATTATTATTTAAAGTAGCCGTCATTCTCGAGCGATTCGGGAGGCGTATTGAACGGAACATGTCTCCCAAATTCTCCTCGAGTTGGATATGTTTTAGTTTTCTTTTTTTTTCTTTTTTTTTTTTTTTTCTTTCGATTACGATATTTTTCTCCTCGTTTTGTATAAATGGTTTCTCCTTCGATTTCCTTTAACTCGTAGCTTGAAAATGTCCGGTTATGCTGTCGTTTCTCGTATATATTTACGTACGTGTCGAGGAATGTCCTGTGTGCGCGCGGGCGTGTGTATGTTTATTTATGCGTTCTCAAATTGTAGTAAAAGGAAATTTTGATATGACGGTGAGAGGAATATTACTACAGATATGATTGTTTGATCTATAATTTTTTTGAGCCGTTCTTTACATTCTAGACGGCAGTCTTGTCTCATCATTGTCAGCGGGAAATTTGAAAATTGATTCGACGCGTATTTTGAAAGTGCTGCGACACCACCATCGACTATAAAGATATTAGATTATACTACCGTTGTTAGCTGCTCGAGAGTTTCATAATTTATCGCCTTTCGATCTCTGTATTTGTCATTGGAAGGTACGTTTTGCCCGGGACCACGGTTACAGGCTACACACTTACAAACTTACATAAGTCCTTCGTGTACTTCATCGTACTAGACGCGCCGCACTTTTGCTCGTTCACTGACCTCTCTGTCGTTTCTTTGTCGATCCCTTCTGTCTCTTGTCGATTCTCTTTCGTCGCGAGTGTCGGCTTGTCAGTTGGCGTAATGATCGAAAGAACCCAAATATTCCAAACTTGCGCGATAACAGAACTGGTATTGGTCCTGTGTAAGCAATACATATTACAGTCAGTATATATATTTTATATATTACACGTACAACGTTATTACGTGCAGTATCAACTTCTGAAAGATGGTTCGTGTATAAGATTGATTAATCGCTGGATTCAAGTGAATTCTTAACAAAATTATTTTAAATACGTACAGGAATAGAATAAACATTTAAAAAGTATTTAAGTACTAACCTCTGTTTGAACCATAGCAGGTCGTTGCGTGCGCAATATTCTGACTGTTTGGAAGATGTCAACGACTCCCTCGTACTGCATACGTTCCAACACAATGCTCAGTGTGATGAAGACACCTGTTCTTCCAACTCCAGCGCTACAGTGTACAGTTATCGGCCCATCTTGACCAAACTGTTCCTTCGTTTTGTGCACTTGTCCAATAAAGTCGATGAAACCATCGCCGGACTTTGGAACACCCTGTTCAGGCCAGTCGATGAACTGGAATTGTCTGACTGTACGACTCGCTCCGTCTCTCGCGTCCGTCACTTTGAATTCTCGCAGAATGTACTGAGGCATATTATACTCTGCGATTGGATCAACTACAAAGCACTGATAACGAATCGACCTATCGGACGGCCAGTACTGATGGCATTTCTCTCTACCCATCTCTTTTAATTTCGTTAACATGACCACGATTGTAGAATTGTGCTCCCACAACATACGCCAGAAGTCATCTGTAGTATCGCACAGAGGTCCTTGGGTGGCAATGTACGCACCTCGATATCTATATCCGTCTATAAGACTGGCATTGATATAATCGGACCCTTCGATGTTGCGTTGCGGTTGCAGGCACACTCTGGTACACTCGTACGGTAATATGTGTACCAATCGATTTTTATGCTTGTTGCAGGGAAGATTTGCCGAGATGAATCGCGACGAGTCTACTTTAATGTTGGACAGCTTTTTGAACTCCAGCTCCATACCAGTGATATTGTCGATTTCTGGCTGCATGAGCTTCTGAATGTGAGAATGCAAGTTTCTGGCAGGCACTTCCGTGTTGCCGCAGATCACCGCCTCGTACAGCGCGTCGTGGATGAAGATGTACTGATCTTCGGTCTGGACCATGTAGTTCCTTTGGGCTCGTAGACAGGTCACGTGGCCGTATATGTCGATCATCTTCTCGTGCTTAATTCTCTCGAGCATCGAATCGATGACGATGAAGCAGCCTGTTCTTCCAACACCAGCGCTACAATGAACGATTAGCGGCCCGCTGTCTGGCGGATTCAAGGATCTGACTCTACGCAGGAACTGCAGGAACGGCGCAGGATGTTCAGGCACACCGTGATCGGGCCAAGCTGTGAACTGCAGCTGTTTTATTTCACGTCTTTCGGAGTAGCCCGCTCTGGATATTTGGAATGTTCGGATGCAATAGGTGGCCAGCTCTTGAACATCGGTGATGGTTACGGTCATCAGACCATAAGTCTCGGAGCCTCTACCAGGCCAATACTGATCACATTTTATCCTCGTTCGTTCTTCCAGCTTCGTCATCATCACGATCGTACTCGATCTTAATTCCCAACACATTCGCCAGAAATCACCGAACGTCTCTTGAAGTGGCCCTTGCGTAGCTACGTACGCGTTTTGCTTCCTGTATCCATCGCAGTAATTTGCGTTTATGTAGTCCGTGCCCGACATACCGTCGATAGTTTGCAGAATCACTCTCGAATGATCGTAGGCGATCACGTTCGCGTAACGATTCTTCGAAGCGTTCACTTCCATGTTGGAGTGGTCCCAAGTGAATTGTTGTCCAGGCTCGATCGATTCGTACTCCTGACTGAATTTTAGATTGTCATTCGCTTTTAAACGCTCGATGTGGTTTCCCAGTTCGCTGATTGGAATCGGAGGATGAGATGCCATGCCAGGCGTTTGGAAATTCAAACGGCGCATCTCGACAGGGTCGGATGGAGCGTGGTTCGAACTGATGTCAGCGGCCATTAGTGGTCGAGTGACGGCTGCTTGGTCCGGTGCTTTGCAAGGTTGTCTTCGTCTAGATTTTAATTATTTAATCGTAATCGTAAAAAAAATCATCGTGCAGAAATTTGTTAAACGCTAATCAATAAGTGATTACACTACTGTTCTACAATACTTACTTTTTGATAACGAAAAGAAGGACGAGGAATACGCTGACCATTAGAGCAGCTATCACTGGACCGACCACCCACACCATTCCTGCTTCCTGTCCACTTGTTTTTACGGACACTTCTGGATTTCCATCCACTGGAGTATTCGGATTAGGACGTCGAGGTGGCTCGCCAGGTGGTACTTCCCTCATATCGAGAGACAGGTACTCGGAGAAAGGTGACGATGTATATAAATGCTGAAACGCGTTAAGTTGAAAGATTTATTTCACTTGGTTTGCGAGCCAATACTATAATATTTAGGACACAACCTGTGTCACAAAGTCAACGAAAAGTTGTCCTAAATACTATAGTATACAGCCTGTTCGTTTATTCGCCGTTAATTTAATACGTTTCTCTATTTCTCGATTTCATACCTTCCTCGGCGTGTCGACAACAGCACGCACAAAGATCCTGTACCGTTTACCTTTCTCAAGCTTTCGATTTTCATAACCTTCGTATATATCTCCGCTGCCAAGGTGGAATGTATATGGTATGTCTCTATGGGGAAACTTGGCAGCGATATAAGGAGCATTCTCTCGTTCCTTGGCACCTTTACCCGCGATCATGTCTTCGGTCAGTTCATCGGGTTGCTTGTCAGCTGTCGATTTGTCTTCAGGCACAACGATCAAGTAGTAATGCGAAATCGATCCGTACTCCTCGGATGCCTGTGGCAGAATCACTTGGATCTCCTCCCCGTTAACCACACCGTAGAAATCAGGCTTGACCATAGGCTTCGGAGCCGCCATTTGCGTGGTGATAGTGATTTTAGCCGGTGGCCTGTATTGGCCGTCTCGCGGCACGGCGCTTACGTTCACATTGTACGTGGTGAACGGTTGCAGCTCGTTTATCGTGGTCGTGGTCACGCTCGGATCCAATAGAATCTGTCTGCGGGGGACGATCTGCGTTTGCGTGATACCTTGAGAATCGACGAACTCTTTGACAGCGTCGAACGACACTTTGTAGTTCATGGGGTTTAGCTTGATAGGCGGTTTCCAAGATAGAGTCATGGAGTGTGTGGACGAGTCCGGCCCCCTCAGATCCAAAGGCACGTCTTCCGGCTTCACCTTCACCGTTACCTTCTCGCTAAGCCTCCCGAGGCCGCTCTTGTATCGCGCAGCAACCGTGATCGCATACTGAGTGAATTTCTCCAAGTTGACCAGCTCCGCCGACTCGGTAAGGCCAACACTCTTTTGCTTCCACTCGTCCAAGTCCTCGACAGCAGTCGTCGTATAAAATATCTGATAGCCGAGGATCTTTCCACGATTAGGTACTGGCTCCCACCAAACTTCCACGCTGGTGTCCGACGTGGCCACCGCTTTTACCGACATCGGTGCACGACCGATGTCTTTCTCCGTTATGATCGTGATCTTCTCCGAGTACGGGCCACTCCCTCTGGACGTGTGCGCTCTCACGTGAAACACGTACTCCGTGTTTTCCTCCAGATTCGTGAAAACCGCTCTGGTCTTGGTTGTGTTCCTGTCGATGGTCGTAGAGTGATCGTTCTTCTTGTTGAATTGCACGTCGTAACCGGTTATCTGGCCGTTTCTATGCTGTCGCAACGGCGGATCCCACGTAACGCACACCGTGTCCGGAGTTTGGAAGAAGTACGATAAGTTGGTCGGTGGACCAGTTGGCTCCCCTTCAGGGCTGTACCAGAATCGCACCGTCTCCTGTCCGAACCCGATCGCATTTTGACCAGACACTCTGAACTCGTAGTCCACGCCTCGTTCCTCTGCATTGCAAATTAAATCACAGCGTTCACAGTTTGTCAAACGATTTCACACGATTCGCGTCGTACGTGTGTGTGAGAAAGAGAAAGAGAGAGAGAGAGAGAGAGAGAGAGAGAGAGAGAGAGAGAGAGAGAGTGTGTGTGTGTGTATGTGGAGCTTACCAAGATCGGTGATTTTGTAAGTATGTTGACGATTCCCTGGAATGTATTCTTCCTTGAGCGTTTGGTTCTTGATTCCATACCTTATCCTGTAGCCCAGCACATCGCCGTACGTTTGTGTAGGTTGCGACCATTCGAGTTCAACCACGTCAGGATCTTTGGACAAAAGCCTGGAAACGAGATGTCGTCAATCCTCTCGTGTTACTACCGCCGTCATTCGACAAAAATATCCGAGAATGTAAAAGAATTTTCGAGAACGTACTTGACGTTAACATGAGGCCTGTTAGGTACACCTCCGGGAGTTCTGACGGTTTCTGGTGGCGAACGATCACCATCCCCCTTTCTCGTTAGGGCGGCTACTTGTACGGAATACGTGGTGTCTGGTTGTAACCCGGTGATGTTCACTTCTAGCACGTCTTCTCGCACGTCGCGTCGTATCGGCTCATTCAGTAGATCCTTTCCCTGAGAGAGGAAACAGAAGATGTTGCGGTTTAAGAATCCGGGAAATTCGTTGTAGCTGTAAAACCAGTTCTTACGGTCCAAAAGATAAGAACGTATATCTAAGAAGTTGACCAATTAATAGTTTTTTTTTTTTTTAGTTTATAACACTCGTGATCACAATTCGTCAGAGAATGCATTCACGGATGCTTGACATTTCAAGGCTCGGCCGACTCACCTCTTCTCTTATTTCTTGCACGTGTATGTGATAGCCTCTTATCACACCGTTTTGTTCCTTTGACGTGGGCGGTCTCCATTTCACGTATATCGTAGTGGAATTGATCGGTGTTACGGTCACGTTTTGAGGATGACCCGGCACTGGAACGCAACACTCGGTTAATTTGTGCACTTGACACCCGACGATGCTACACACTCGCAGTCACACGCTCTCACACTGATCGCAGTCACTCTTGAAACGGGGCAGGGGTCAAACAATATCATAATATCATAATACAGGAAGAAAAGTTTGAGAAATCGAAAAAAAAA